CCTCGCCCCCCTTTCCCTTCCCTTCCCTTCCCTTCCATTCTTCTTCTCCTTTCCCCTCCCCTTCTTCATTTTAGAGTTCGTCACCGAGCGACATTGCCGGTGGCACCAGTAGATATATATCTCTTACGAGGATTGGCAAGGCGTGAGCGGTAATTTACATTTTACACTTGCGCATACTGCATATCAGGTGTTACACAGTATGAGTTGTATTTCCAATGGCACCACTCTTGGGAATCTGCACGCATGAGATTTGTTTGAAAAGGTGACATAAGGAGAAAAAAAAAAGAACGATATATTCCCTGAAACACAGCAAAATTTGTGAGCGAATCGTATAATCTACGGTTTCCGAGGTTCAACTACATCGCTATAAATATTGTTTGACCAATTAAACACGGTCGACAAAGTAACCACGTGTAACTAACAAAAACCCTTCTTATCCAAGGTGTAACGGTATGTATTCTCTTGTTTCCCCATCAAATTGTGTAAGTAGCTCTTTTCACTCAATATTATATTTTGTCAATACCGTCACTTCTCTTCGTCTTTCTCGATTGCGCGGCCTACGGCTCGTTATATTTAGCTGGTTCGTCTTCAGTGAACCGTCGGTTCTTATCTTAAAACTTTTCCGACTTCCTCGGCTATTTTGTTCACCGTCTACTTCTTTACAAATAGTAAACGTATCATCTAGGCCCGGGAAAGACCTCAAGAGTAATATAACACCAGCGTAGTTTATAACACCCACCAAGCAAAAAGGGTCCTCGTGTCTGGCTACCGCTGATCCTGCTTCCTTCTTTTATTTAACTCAAGGAATCGTGTACTCTGCGTTTTTCCTTCATTCTTTATACGAAGTAATTAACTTTATTATTCTTGTTCTAGTTTCGTCCGTGGTGCTTTTCCTCTTTCTTTTCTCTTCCTTTCTCTTTTTCGCCTTCTCCCTTTCCCCTTCCCCTTTCACCCACCAAATATATATATATATATATATATATATATGTATATAATTTTTTTTTATGATGAAAATTGGTTTGGCGACAACGGATTGCGTAGAGTGTGACAAAAAGAAGAAAATGAAAAAAGAGAGATCAATTATTAACTACTTTTTTGCTTTTGTACATTTACTTTTGAAAAATAGCACATAGATACATAATGGCGTCACCGGGGCGCTTTGCATTTTCTTTTACCTTAATATTCGTTCTCTTTCTCATAATCAATGTTGCCTATGCCCAAAGAAACTCCCCTTCCGCGCAAATCGTAACCGTCACGCAATCGGATTCGCCTCAAACCACTCCAACAAGTGCAAACAACCCAACTTCGCAAACTGTGAGTAAACGGAAATCCTTGATAGTTATTACGTAATCAATAAATCTCTTCGCAAGGTTTCGATTGATAAATTGCTCTATCTCATCGCGCACAGGGTAAGGCGCAACCGGACTCCTCCACTCAATCAAACTCTTCACAGCAATCATCTCAGAATTCGAATTCTGATTCAACCGGTCAGAATAATAATCCATCGGACACAGGCAACAATCCGGGTCCCACGGATAATAACAGCGGCAGCAATCAACCCACTCCGAATCCAGTTATCATAACGACAAATAACGGTGGTGGCGCCATCACCATCACTTCTTACTCCACTTCCTACACATACCAGAATGTTCCTACATCGTCGTCTAGCAACAATGCGCAGTCGATTGGAGATAATAGTGGAAGTAGCGAGTCTAGCACGAACGTTGTCACTGCTGCTATAGTGGTGGGTGCCGTCGTTGTCGCGGCCGCAATCGGAATATGGATATTTAGGAAATGGAAACTTACGGTATGCATGGAAACTTTACCTTTCATCAATGAAATATTTTGCGATCGTCTTTTATTCATTCATTTACTTATTTATTTTGTTTGCCCATTATCACTTGCACTTGTCCGCCAAAAAAAAAAAAAAACAAAAAAAAAAAAAAAAAACAGCCCCCCAGAAATTTCAAGGAAAAGATCCAACCTGTCAGCTTTGCACCACGTTCCATGGAATCCGATACTGTATTTTTGCGGGAACTAAATGAACCGTGAGAAAAACTTTTTGACTGGCAATTTTGGTAGACCATATGTGCAAATTAATGATAAAATATATATCAAAAAAAAAAAAAGGTATCAATCTATATGCGATTGACTATATATACATTTCACTAATAACATTATTATTCGCTGTACCGCGCTCAAAAATTTAATGCCTTCTCATTTTCTCACCTCGCCATCGTCCCCATGACTATTTTCCTTACCATTACTCTCCCCACCACACCGACGACACCTGTGACCACATCAACAACCATTCCCTCCGATCACATTCCTCTCTGCTTTTTTTTTTTTTTCTTTTTCATCATCTTTTGCCCTCCCGACTTGATATAATTGGTGTATTTGGTACAAGTCCTTGCCCTAGACAAAATCAGACATTGATCGCCATCTTTCATTATTAATATTTCTTTGTATTTTTTCTTTTGTTCTTCCTTTGTCAAAGTTCTCTCGTACCTTTGTTTATCTGTGTGTACTTTACATTATTATTATTATTGTTATTATTATTATTAAACCCACCATTTGCCATGCACACCTTGATATGACGAAGAATCACAACAATTGAAGAATGTGTGTTTATGCAAGAAGTCATTATTGAAACACCACTACGATTACAATTATGCTTACATAAACAATTTATTATTATTATTATTATTATTTTTTAAATTATGTTTGGCTAGCACAAACCGAAAAGTTTGGCAATCTTTTTATTCTGGAAGAAAAAAAAAAAAAGTGAATTTTTTCTCTTATTTCTAAAGCTCCTTTTTTGCGCATGCATATATGGATAGAAGTGTAGAAAATCTTTTTTTTTTCTTACGCAAAAGAGAATTGCTGAAGTAGATAGGGAGAAACTTTTTTTTTTTTAGACATTCGACTAACTTAATTCTAAAGTTAAATTGCAGTTTATCGACTTATTTGCCGGCTGTTTCTTTTGTTATTAATAAAATACGGTATAATATTATTAATATATATTCGATCACTATTCGCGATTGACGTATCACCCCTCAGTCTAACATTAATTAGACAATGATGCCCATACCTGCACCATTAAAGGGATAGTCCCGTCTTGCAAGTCGATTCGCAGGGCAAGATCGGCATGACATACCACAAATTGATGTACGATATGATTTATTGGGTAACCGTTAATTTCTTTTTCCTTATCACAATAATTACCGCGTTTGCAACTAGTGTATTCAAGGTTAGCCGATTGTCCGAGTCAGGTGGAAAGCTCAATTTAGTTGCAGCAGCACTACCGCAAATCTAAAGATTAAAATAGAAATATTGTAAAAAGGAATTGGCATCCTAATTTTCACTCAAAATAATATATACAACATTACTATACACAGTATTCTTATATAATTTGTATATAATGAATCTTTCTTTAAAAAAAAACTTTTTTGTTTTATAGCATATTGTATATGATAAAGAGTAATATTGATTAAATTAAAATATTAAAAATTTTAATTGATTTTTTTTATATCTTAAAAAAGTTTATTAATTTTTTTCCAAATTTGTGTAACCTTTTTTGACGATACATACTTTAAAAGATTGTTCTTAAAGTTATTTAGGAATAAATTTTAAGATAGGATTAAAATAAAGATTTAAAATAAAATAATCTCATAGGATAATTTTAATAATTGTTTTTTTTTTTTTTAATCCATAATAATTCTGATTTCAATAATTTCAAATATAATTAAGAATAAAAATTAATAATAATAGAAATAAAATAATTTTTTTTTTAAATCACAATTGATATTAAATACAAACTTCTTTATTAGATAAATATTATATAAAACTAGCTTAGTAATATAAAAATTAATTAAAATTTGTAAATTCAATATTAACTAGTCTGTTTTGTTATTAATAATTGTATATTAATCATTCAATTTCTATATTAGATTTGCTTTACTTATAGAATGATAGTAGGTTTACTTAGAATAAATTGTAACAAGTTATCATTGATCTACATGTATATAGAAATATATAGTTTATATGAAATGATTAATATTATTGCTTGAGATTTAATTATCAATAAAGAAGTTTGTATTTAATATCAATTGTGATTTAA